AAAAAAAAAAAAAAAAAAAAATAGCTTTTTTTCAAGGTAATGCACATAGAAGGTGTGGTATACTCGTTTGGGTCCGTGGATTCTCATCGCGATCGGAAGTTTGATGATGAAATATTACCAAAAATACATGCATGATGAATAAAAATGTAAAAATGAAAATGTAACTTTTCTTCTTTCATTTTTTTTTTTTTTTTAAATTATTTAATACGAGGCGCCTATTTCAAGTGATAGCGGTAATTGCCGGCACAGTTTTGCATATATTAGATACACAAATTGTAAAAAGAAAAAAAAACCGGAAACATAGTATATTCTTGTAACTATAAGGGAAACACAAATCATCGTCAAGTTAAAGCGCATTGATACTTACTTATAGGTAGTACTTATCTGCAGTCTATTTAGAACAATTGGTATGAACTACTTGTTTGGAGAGAAAAAAAAAAAAAATCGTCATTCGCCGTATGCACCTAAAATGTATCACCTTTTTGTATTTCGACGTAATATCCTAGCAACGACGCATGCGTAACAAATCGTACATGGTACATGTGGGATATGCATTCGTTCGGTTTGTGGACAAACTCTGTGTATTGTTTAACAAATTAAATCAACGAAAAAAAAAAAAAAAAAAAAAACGATGTCCAGTCCGATGTTGCAAGTGCGCGGTAGTGAGCACGATTTTTTCGAACTGAACAAGACACTCGAAGAAAACGTGAAAAGCCTGATGGTGGAGTTGGACTCGATTATAAGCAATCAGGAGGACGTTATAGAGAAGCCGAAGAATTGGTCGGACAAGTGGGCGATCGCGGGCGAGAGGCCCTACTCGAGCAGTGGAAATTACGATAATTGCCACGAAGTGTAAGTTACCTGCACAAATTTTTTTTTTTTTTCTTTTTTCTTTTCTTCGCTTTTTCAACGAGTGGCTGTATTTTAGAGAAAAATATAATCAAATATCAACAAACAAGACCATCATTCGCTACTTGAAGGCGCAAGTGGTCAAGTTTCAAGCTGACGTCAAGGCCCTTGAGTGCGAGCTCAAAAAGAAAGTAAACAAATACATGTATATATTAGGTATATTTGTGATGGCTTCGAAAGAATTATTTAAATATATCCTTAATGCTTTTAGAACGAAAGCTGCAAAGAATTGGAGATCAAAGTGAAAAAGTCCGAGGAGAGACGGGAAAGTTTTCAGAATCAGCTTAGTTCTCAGAAAGAAGTCATTGCGAAGGCTCAAGCTCTGAGCAACGATCTGCAATCAAAAATACACACTCAAAACACGGAAATCACGTCTTTGAAGAAAGTGAGAATCTTTTTTTTTTTTTTTTTTTTTCGTTTTGTGTTGCGTACTTTTTNGGAGCAACACAGCAACATAGCGTAGCAGCAGCAGCAGCACAACAGCAGTATAGTATAGCACATGAAAAAAAAAAAAAAAAAAAAAAAAGGGCATGCACACTGCAACGCACAATTTTTGCATTCGTAATCCAGTCAGGTACAACACAAAACACAAAGCACTGCACCGCACACTCTCTTTCAAAAGGTACTTTTTTACTGACGGTGTTAGGCAGGTAGGTATATGCGTATGTAATATAATATGTGTGTCCCGCTACAGCGAGAGCAAGAGGCGGCGAGAGCTGCACAGCAACGGCTACTCGAATTCCCTTACTGCTCACTCCGCGGAGTATTCGTATATACCCAGTATATACTCCGACGAAGTCCAAACTCCAAAAGAGATATGTTTTCTTCAGCGTAAAAAGCGCGATACCTAAATATTGATGATTAAACGAACTTCTAGCGAAGTTCAATCATAATTATACGAGTACCTTGTTCGAGGATATTACTTTGTAGTACCTCTTCCAGTCGCTAGACGTCGCCACCGTTATCCAATTGATCAGACAAGCTGCCAATCCTTTGAGTAATATTTCGTACTTCAACCTTAAAATTATTCAAAATTAAATTTGAGTTTTTTTAAATAGCAANTTTAATTTTTTTTTTTTTTTTTTTTTTTTTTTTTTTTTTTTTTTTTTTTTTTTTCGTTTTGTGTTGCGTACTTTTTGCACGTACTCAGACTAGGGCGCGGATACTTTTTTAATTTTCTTGCAACATTTTTTTTTCCTAAAAATTGATTGCATTATTTGTGCAGAATTTTTTTTTTCTACTTGCAATATACAGAGCTTAAAAAAATATTTTCCAGCAAAACGTTCAAATTTGGAAGAAAAAATAGTTAAAGCATTTAAATACTTTACAATAAACTAAAACTATGTATCATTTTTCTCAGTATTAATTTTTTCACCAAGAATGGACTTGATTCAGGGAAAAAACAATTTGCTTTAAAAATGTTTTAAAATGCATAAAATATTTGTGCCCCATTCAGGAAATCGAAATACTAAAACGAGACTTAAAATCATCGAACCAGCTCACCTCCAATTGCGACGTGAGGCTAGCGAGAAGCTTGGATGAGAACGAAAAATTGCGCTCGTCACTGAAGACGTGTCAAACGGAGGGAAAAGTAATGTATAAGCACCGAAATTATCGTATCCCGTATTATTGAACGTCGAATCACACGAAAAATGTTTCGACGTTTCAGGAACTCAGGGAACAGGTGCGGAAAGTCCAGGAGGAAAAGAGATTAGCTCTGAAAACTGCCGATAAGCAGCGCACCGAAGTTTTTCAGGCCTTCAAGAAGCAAGCGCAACTTGTGGACAATCTGAAGAAACAAAAAGTTGGTATAGTCTTGGTTTAAGAGATTTTTTTTTTTTTTTTTCATCTTGTCAAGTATGTCCGATTTTTCATGTTGCAGGCATACCTGGAAGCAAGCAAAGAAATTCGGTTTGTCGAAGAAGATTTTGTTAAATTATTGAACTGGAAGCCCGATAATACCAGCTGACTTCTGGTGAATATTTCCTCTTGGCTTACCATTGCCATAACGATGATAACTGTACTTTGCGCTTCTGTGTGAAAATATACTTACCTTTTTTTACAACTGCTCGTGTTACAATATTTATTTATTGAGTGTAATGAAAGAAAAACGACGATTAAAATGGTCTTTGAAAGTAAAAACACAAAATTTTAAACAAAATTTCAAATACCGTAAGAATGGAAAAGAAAAATGAAAATTTTCAGTACAATTTCTTTGAATTGCCATTAAATTTCCTACTGAATCAACATCTGAATTGAATAAATTTCAATTTATTTACATAAAAATTATCTCTACAACGCGGACTGTACAAGTTTTTTCTGAAGAGTAGTAAGTACCGAGCATACAATTTACATGCTCTCGTGTTACCTGTTGTGGTTACAAGCACAAAATTTTTATATTTTTCCACACCGCGCAGGTACATATCGATTCGAAATAGTGATTGATAGCTAGCCGTTAAACACGCCTTTGTTTTTCCTTTGTAGGATTTAGTAGATTTAGTAATTTGAAAAATATTCTCACAATAAAAATCGAGTCCACAGAATATGATGAATTCTCGACCAAATCCTTGAATTTGAAATGGTCACACCGAATTCTCGGTTGAGATATGACATTTTTTCACCTCCATCCATTATGGGTGCGAAAATTGCACTTTAGACCATAAAATATTTTCAAAATTAAGCATTAGACAAGGTTGACAACTCAAAAGTATAAGTTTTAGACAGTCAGCAGAGCATTTTTTTTTTTTATACATTCATTACATTTTTAGAAGAATAAATTTGAGCTACAATCGCGAATAGTTTAACGCCTGTGATGGCCTTTTTTAAATAGACATTAGATTAAAATCATTCTTCGATATATTCAACATTGAATAATTCATCAAAGTATCAAATATGTTTTCTTACATCAAATTTTGATCACACTTTCACGTTTCGTCTACTTTAATTTTAAAACTTTTTCTCGTAAATTTTAGAACTACAACAAAAGTTAATTCACTTGAAGTGAGACGAATTAAAAATTTTTCTGTCTTTAGTTCGACGAGAACTGCTCAAACAAACTCATTGATTTAGATACATTCATACACACGCGCGTACAAAAGCAGATAAACAAATATTCTTCCTCAAATCTTTAGTAGTCGGAAAGATTTTTTTTTTCTCATACCATCTTCGTCAAGCTCGAAGAATTCATTTTTAATAAAAAATCATTAAAACTAAAAGTTCAAATTTTTTTTTTTCAAAGTTCAATAATTACAAATTTACTATCTGATTTGCGATTGCACAACGTATTGCAGTATGAAATGCTTTCGTCTACATACAAGGAAACGAAATAATGAATATGAACATGACTTTTTAATTTTTTATAATTTCGAACTCTTACAAATTCAACAACGTTTGAAAAATTAAATATTTTCCCATGTAAAATTAAGTTTTTGTAACTATTTAAAAGTGTTTTCATTTATTTACACGTTAACTATGGACACAAATTATCAACCTTAATTTTTGTTTTTGGAAAAATCACTATGGCCATCGATTAGAAAGAAAAAAAAAAAAAAAAAAAAAAAAAAAAAAAAAAAAACAAATGTAGTTTAAAAAATTTTGTAATTTTAATATGCTTATTTTATAATATCTAATGTCATAAATTACATTACCATTTAAGACAAGTTATGAATTATAAATGTAAGAATAGATAATGAACTTCTCTTTCAAATGAGACTTTATACAGTAATTACAGCCTTAATTAAAGTCACGTCGATTTTTTTTATCGTTTCATACAATTCGCCATGAAGCTCCCATTTTTTTAAATTTCTTAAATAAAACAATTCACTAATGAGTAAGTTACTAATACATTTATATATCAAGAGGTAAAACGTATATTTAAAAATGACGTGTGGGTAAACGATATAGATGCACAAGCCAACAATTTTACGACTGAGAGTTCAGTTCAGATGATTCGATGAATGTAAAGTCATTGAGCATAATAAGTATCACTTGTGTTGGATGAGAAAAAAAAACAACTGAACTTTCACTTACGACGTGACTGTATAAGTAATTTCAATTTAACATATAATAACCAGTATTCTAAATGCGATCAGAGGGATAACACTGCGCGAAGGCATCCTTGGATAGGAAATCAAATCAGAGATGTAGATAAATATTTAGACGCGAGCATAACAACCGTAGCATCTGATCGTTATCTTTACGTTCACGACTTTCGGCGTGGTTTCGGATCAGAAGATCACGCTAGATAGTTGTAAGTATCTTTTTGTCCCTCTACACGCTCTAGATACTCTTTTTCGATTAAACCATCTATACACCTCTGAAAATAAAAAAAAAATAAAACATGAGCCAATAGTGTAAAAATGCCCCTAATAAAAAAAATTATTAATATATTTTACCTTGATAAGTTGCACTCGAGGCTTAAATCTGGAGTTCAATTGATTTAGTACTTCAGCGACAAGTTGCGCGTGTTTCAAAGTTTTACGCATTTTCATAATTCTTACGATTGCCGCTTGTATAAGGATTTTTCGATCACTTTCTATGTGTTTATGCGTTGCTTCTTGTTCAACTTTAAGCTCTGTCTTTAAGGGCATATTGATGTTTACCCTCAATTTTTTACTGCAATTGAAAAGGATGAAAATTAGTTTTTAACTTTCGATTATAAAGAACAATGAAGTTTACAAAATTAAAAACTTACTTTTTATACCCAAAGTAAAGATCTACTGTTGTGGATGGACTCAACTCAGCCTCATCGTCGTTTGTTACTAGTAGTTTAGCTTTAACTAAAATTTGCACAACCTGAAATTTATAAAGAAATTAATTTTAATGTCACTGAAAATTATTATAAATAAAAATTCATTGGGCTCTCATTTACTTGTAGCAAGTAGTCCATTTTTATTTGAGTTGATTCATGAAGCTGTTGAATTGTCCAAGACGTTGCAGTGTTGTATTGTAAAAGAACTGCCATTTGATAGGTTGATGCTTGCAGTGTATATTTATTTTTAAAGCAGTTGGCATGAAGTTCACCCTTTGACATACTATACAACCAATTTAGTTTTCTGCCACTGTGCTGTGAACTGTAGAAAGTTGTGAATCTATGAACGGATCGTTCGAGCTGTAATAAAAGAAAAGCATTTGATAAAAACATAGATATATAAAATTTAAATTTTTAAAATAATAACTGTGGGTACCTCTGTTGGTAATGAAAAACTAAAGGAATGTTGGAACGGCCATGAACCAGATGATAAAACCTGTATACTGAAATCAATATCCAAGGGTTCACATGATTTCACAAGATGTTTTCGGAAGTGATCATTTAAATCCTTTGAAACTCCAATATCCTGAAACATTCTCTGAAGTTTAGATGTGTACTCGAAACCACACGCCTGCTTTAGTTTTGATATCATGGAAGCCTCTGCATCATCACTCGCAGACATGTGAGACACCAATCTTTTGGCCAACATTTTACTGTAGAATTTTTGGTACACATCTTTATCTTCAATGTATTTGAATACTACCATCTAAACAATAAATGATGAAGATTAATTTGACGAGCCATCATGAAACATGAATTCAAATCCTACGCTATGCTTACAACTTGATTGAGAGTATCCTCGAGTTCTGCTTCTTCAGGGTTTTTGCTACTTTTTTTGAGCAACACGTCACAGTACTTAGCTAACAATTCTGGGGACTTACTACTAGTGTTCGCCGTTTTAGTTACAGAGTTATTATTTATAAACCGTCCACAAGCTTTGTCCAAAGCTGCCACGAAACCACTGTCATTGTTAAATGCAATTAGTACTAGAGCATTATATTTCTTGTGAACTTCCAAAATAGTGTTGACGTAAATCTTAGGATCCTACAATAAGAAGATTAATTAGCATTAACAAAAACCAAGATCTCAAGTGCGAGTGAGAAATTTTGGGGAACGAAAATAATTCTTACGTTAGCTGCAGTATCACCGCATTTGTCAATAGCTGCAAGACCTTGGTTGTAAATGTGACTTTCAAGGAGATTTTTTAGTTCGCCAAGACCATTTGGTATCCTTGCGACTAACTGATACATTCTTCCCAAGTCAACATTTTTATCTGTATCCAACAAATTTTGAAACTCTGCATGGAAAATATCAAGATGTTTCTCAATAAGCACTTTTTCGCACGTTTTGGCAAGTCTTTCGTGCGTTGTTTGATGTAAGTATACTTGAACACGTTTTTGTTCTTCTTGTAACCTAAGCTCAACCTGTCATGATGAATAAAGAGTATTAAGTTATTCGTTTCACAAAAAAAGGAACGAAGAATGAATGATTGTGAGTTGGAAAAAATCATACTTTTTTCATATACTCTGTGACTGGGTTGTGGCGTAGAAATTCCCCACTTTCACGAGTATAAAATCTTTTTGTATCATCGAGAAATTGGTTTTCAAATGATTCTTTGTACACGCTCAGAGTTTGACCTTTAGCACCGGGATCTTCTTCGTTTAGGCCTAATTCTACATAACAATTAATAACTCCACTAACTAAACGTGTGTTTATCGTTTCGCCATTTCTTTCGCGTTCAATTAATTTTAACACAGCATTGGTAACCTGAAAACAATAACAAAAATAATAGTTAATTAACGTTCACGCGATCAGATCCAGCAAGAAACAAGCAACTGCTGGGATAAAAATATAAATACCTGTTTGTTCAAGTGCTTGAACAAATTATCTCTCCATATGACCAATGCCAACTGGTATATTTCGAAAATTCCCTTACGTCCTTCTTCACATTCCCGCCTCACCCAGTGGCGATTCAGATAGGAACAAACGCCGTTCAGCACCTTGCTACTAAACTGGTACTCATCCCACTGCTTTGTGTAAAATTTAAGAACGTCTTCATCCATAAGATCAATTCCTTGCTGTAAACAATATTCATGTCAAGATAAAAGTAAAACATAGAAATAATCACAGGTATCGCTGAGTCAGTACACGCAAGAAAAAAGAAAAAGGGCTTCTAACGGATAATTATATAAGAGATTGTAACAAAGGCAAATGAAAGTTAAAAAAAATTCGGACCTAAATTTAATTGCAATTTTGATAGCTGGCGTGACGTCGGTTGAGATTACACGAATCTCAAGACCTTATCACAAACCTTATATCCAACATTTCATTTAAAGACTCATAACTTGAGATTGTTTAAGCATCTGCTAAGTAAAATGCAACGAACCTTGTACAATTCAATCAGGTAATTCCGAAGGAAATCGCGTAATCGCTTGTACAGCTCCAAACCAACCAATTGTGCACCACCAGTCACGATGCCTTTTTTACCTTTCTGATTCTGCCTCGAATTTGATTGTTGATGCACACTTGTGCAGTAGTTATACACGTGTCTGCAATTCATATCAAAATGAGATATTAAATCATTTTTTTTTTTTTTTTTTACACCTGTATATAAAAACAGATGACGAAACAGCCACTTACGTGTACAGTTCCATGTATCGCTGCTTGAACATGCCTTGCCTGTTGTACACCTGCTTGATACCTTCTTCGAGGTCGCCCCAAATTTGGTCCAAATCAATTTGTTTGAGCCCAGGTGGACCATGATTGGTGTTTTGTCTGTACCCAGACATCGTAAAGCGTAATTTTTTCTTTGTTTATGTACACTCGAGTCTACGCTATGCCAGTATTTTTCCTGCTATAACAAGAAAAAAAATTTTTTTTGCGACCAATGATTTCTTAATTTGTTACATGAAAATGATCTCGGGAGTATGAAGTTGGAATGAAAACGCGGGTGATGTTTTTATCCTTTAGAGCCAATACAAGTAAAGTATCAACGAAAACGAAAATTGAGGAAATAGGTTATGAATCGGAGCTAAGACAAAAGTCAAGCAGAGCACATCGTCAAGACTGCGCGAAGGGTAAGAGAGAGAGAGAGAGAGAGAGGAGAGCGGAGCTCGCAGCACGGAAAAAAATAGAGCGAGCACAAATACAAGTACCGTTACTAACTTGGGCTTACTCTGTTTAAGACACCGAGAGAAGAGAGGAGAGAGATCAATCACACACCAGAGAGTCGCGTTAAACAACAGAGGCGTAAACAAAGCCGCGATCGAGGAAAAAAGAAAAAAAACACCTCAAACGAGAGGGACCGCGAAATTCACAGCTCATATCCCGGACGCCCGCGCGATGAATCATCGGATCGTTTTGATCGAGCTACGACATGCATCAATCGCAATGCTGGCTGCAGCTGCAAGCAATGTATAAGTTTAGCAAACAGCGAGCAACGAAGATGCACGTGGGTTCGGTACAATATTTTCGCTCCCTTAGGTAGCCTTATATAGAATGTCGAGATGGTACTCACCCAGAGGACGAGGCAACGCTTTCACCGACGCATAAGCGACAACCAGACCTGGACAGCGACCGGACGATGATGCTCTTCTTCTTGCTTGCACTTAAAATTTTTTTTCTGCCTACGATGGTTTTGCTATGACGACGACGACGACGATTCTATTGCAAGTGCACGAACAATCCTTGGCCTTCGCCACGAAGAAGACAAGGACGCTCACGCAAGAGGAGAGAGCAGGAGAACAACGAACAAAGCGTGATCTGGCACGAACGTAGTACCTTCCACCTCAGCTGTAGTACATAACCACGCACTAAATGTCGATTATCTTGAGCAGACTGCCTTCTCTGTTGATGATTGACGCTTTTAATTTACAGCGCGTGTATAACTATACAACCCAACTAGGTAGGTGTTTAAGGTATTTAGCTCTTGCTGGGCTGTTGCGACACGCACACACGATAAAGACCGAGCGAGAAAGAGGGAGAGTTCTGCTCTACCTACACACACACACACTTACACACTACACAATTGAACTGGTGCGAGCCGAGGAGGAGGCCGTCAGGCCGAGGACGTTTCGCGGAGAATATATATTATACGCTTGATAGGCCTAAATGGGTGTACTCGAGGACGCGAAGACTTGTCGGGGATCTGGGGATCCAGTCCTAAGCTACACTTACACTACCGTCCGCACGAACCGCTCGCTACGAAGCGGAGACGGCAAAGAGATGGACGATGACGATCCAACCGATGATGATGCTATACTCTCTAACTTGACAGGTTAAGTCGCACGCTTGCCAACGTAATGTCCCGTGTGTGAGCTGCACTACAAAAGCATGGCGTGTCGTTGAAGCACGCGTTTCTTCTTTTAGCCGTACGTTCAAATCTGTCGTCTCTCTCTTATAGGACCGTTGAACAATTTGCACCCCGTTAGTCCGTGTACGGATTACCCTGTTTTTACGGTGTACAATTAAATGCTTCCGAGAAGATAATTAAATATCACAGTATTGTTACAAGCACAGCTGTTCGATGATCCGATATCGATCCTGACGCAAAATCATTTCATTTGGTTGGTCACATGTGCGCAAATATAAAATGTGCGCGATCTCGAACTCACTTCAATCTCGAGAATATTGCAACAATCGAATGTGTGTGGGGTGTGTTTTTTTGCGCGCCACTCGAGCTTTAATTTGTCGGTTAAGCGCGGCAAATTATAATAAATAAGGGGCTAAACCCAAAACGATAATGAGTGGGAATATTGTTGGATAAAAGCCAATCGAGCAGTTTGGAACTATTGACACGGTTATGTGGTCAGTGACATCAGATAAAACTAAAGGTGAGTGAATCATTGGTGTAAACGCCGCAAGCGCACGTGCATTCAATGACGAACGACGGAAACTGGAAACTTCCAAAAATGCTTTTCAGTAATGATAAAAAATTTTATTTCAGTCTATTGTGTCACGCGAGGGTTGTAATCTTCGAATGGGAATTTTTTTATTATTACTTTTCTACTTAGTATTTCTCATCCAAATCGGTAAAGGAAACTATTAACGCGTACACTTATGCCACTTGGATCGAAATTATTGTAATACGAAATTTTTCCATACGAAGTAAGGGAATTAATTATTTGAAGCTGAGTTAAAAGAAAAAAAAACCACTTACATAATGATTCTTTGCCGAAAAAACATCTTACAAATGACGTGTTTGGACTCGAATTGAGCTCGGCAACAATTCACATTTTTTAGTTTTGGTTTTTTTATTCATGCAAAATATAACATACAAGGTGTATATATTTTAAACTTTGTACTCAATCCAAAAGTTCAAATAAATGTTGTAAATGAATGAATTTTTTTTTTTAGTTTTTACGTCATCTTTAAAAAGAACCGGTTACAAAGCTGTAAAATTTACGAATTAATCAATGTACTAAATTTCATTGCAATTTAATAACAGCTTTTCTGGTTACTTAGTAGAAGCAATGAGAATTAATTTTTCTTTCAAACTTGGGTTAATTGAAAAATTTCATCATATCTGTACGAGCTTAAAAGTCCCTTTTTTCCTTAATTTTCACATTTGATGGAATGGAATGTTTTATTTACTATAAATGAAAGGTGGCCAAAACAGGTAGTTTTTTCTATCTATGTTTATTTCTATTTGAAATTTTTTTAACAGCAATTGTGGTTTTCGCATTAGAAACGCTATAGTGATTAAAATGGGTGAAATATCGAATAATAAGCGTAATATGTGATGGTCAAGAGCCAAAATAAAATATGTACTAATATATCAAAGTAAAGTTATTGTGCAATTACACGTAGGTATTCTTAAACTTCAAAATATACATTGTACAAAAAATTACACATTTTGAAAGAAAATTTTTTTGGAGCAGAATTGGATTATTTTTATTANTTTATGGTATAAGACGTTTACATAATTTTCAAAATGAGTTTAGTTGTTCGAGGCAATCGGTAGTTTTAAGCAAAAAAAAAAAAATTATGGAAATTACAATTCATTTTTAAAATCTAAAGCCTTATTTATAAAATATATGTTACATCTTATCGACTTCTGAGTACAAAAAATTACACATTTTGAAAGAAAATTTTTTTGGAGCAGAATTGGATTATTTTTATTATTTTTTGGTTAAAAAAATTTGAAAAATAATGAAGAAAATGTAAAAACAAATTTTTTTATGAATACATTAAACTTTTAAACAAATAATTGTAGTAATTATTACTAAGCAAAATTTCCATCGTTTATAAGACAGGACGAATAAAAAAAGAGAGATTGGGAATAAGGCAGTACATTGGCTTTTAATAAAATTGTTAAAATAAAAACAAAAAATGTGATACTCTATTGGCTTTTAAAAAAATTTTTAAAATAAAAACAAAAAATATGATACTCTAGCAAGCCAACCAACGTTTAACTTACCTCACTTACCTGAGTTAGTGACGGCCGGTGGACTACCACACGTTTTTCAACGTAGCAAATCTTTCAAACCGAGCCGCGCACTTGACTATAACGTCAGAGGCGAGCCAGAGCACATATCTCTGACCGCAACTCACAATTTGGTCTATATATACTAATCAAAGACTTTTTCGCCGCATGAAGGAGTGAATTCAGGAAGCAACTACCGGGTGTAGGACTCATTGGGAGGGTTGGAAATGAGTTCATCTCGATGAAAACCCTATTTTACAATTTAATATCAACTTTTCTTGTCGTATTATCGTTTAGTATTTTATGAAAAACGATTATTAGCCCTTTTTTTGAAGAAATCGATACCAGATGCCCCCACGCGTTCGGAAATGCAACCAAGTACTATCGTGGCATTGAAGCGGGAGATTGGATTAGCCACCACAGGCATAGGGACCCAAAAAAGGGCAGAGGGAGAAGAGCAACAAACTTCATTATCATGACTTTTTAATACGTTTTCGCAAGTATTCACGTATTTTTATCAGTCCGAATATGCTTGATACGACACTTTAATGTGACAGTCAAAGTAGAATTATACGGTACGATCCATCCGTTGCCGGTAACTCAGTTACCTGGTCGTATACCAATAGTATTGACTTTCCTTTGTTAATGTAGGTAACGCTATCAAAACGCTGTAGTATACCTATATATGGCAAGACAAGTCAAGACCCAATGCGGTCGAATATCGACAGCCAATCAAGTCATGTTTCAAAACAGTGACGTATCACTTTTTCAGGAGGTTCGGGAATGCCCTTTCCGGCTCGTATGATGCAAGGGGGTCTAAGTGCCGCATTCGCGTAAAAAATTGTAAAAAAATATTTTTCCAACTGATTGGGTTGTCATGATCTAATTTGAACATGAAATGTATACGTAGAACTTTATGGAAAAAAAAGTGTTTTACAACTTTTATTCTTTAACGCTTGTGACCACAGCCTCGGCACGTAATCAGATTGTGCCAATATTTATGTAGCTTAAATTCTTCAATTACTATAAATTTCAAAATATTTTCTCTAAATATCACCACAAGATTTTTTTTAAAAGGAAGCTATGAAAAAATAGTATATTAATTTATCAATCCTCCTTGAACTAGAAGAAATACAGGAAGATTTTCTTTGGTTAGAATAAAGGTCGAATCCATCGAATTTTATTAAAATTTACGGGGGTTGTTGGGGTTCTAAATATGTACCCGAGTTTATCGGGGGGTTCTTAATGGCAGTGATGCGGTTACGGGGATTCCCTATAAAAATAATGGAAAATTGTATTCAACACTAATATGTATAAACATTTTTTTTTTTCGTAGCTATGTAACCAGAATTATTCTGATTAAGCCATCATATCTTGAACTCCCTAAGTACAAAGCATTAGAAACGAATAAATCGTAAATAATAAAATAATACATTTAGAAAATTTAAAAAATAATGAAGAAAATGTAAAAACAAATTTTTTTATGAATACATTAAACTTTTAAACAAATAATTGTAGTAATTATTACTAAGCAAAATTTCCATCGTTTATAAGACAGGACGAATAAAAAAAGAGAGATTGGGAATAAGGCAGTACATTGGCTTTTAATAAAATTGTTAAAATAAAAACAAAAAATGTGATACTCTATTGGCTTTTAAAAAAATTTTTAAAATAAAAACAAAAAATATGATACTCTAGCAAGCCAACCAACGTTCAACTTACCTCACTTACCTGAGTTAGTGACGGCCGGTGGACTACCACACGTTTTTCAACGTAGCAAATCTTTCAAACCGAGCCGCGCACTTGACTATAACGTCAGAGGCGAGCCAGAGCACATATCTCTGACCGCAACTCACAATTTGGTCTATATATACTAATCAAAGACTTTTTCGCCGCATGAAGGAGTGAATTCAGGAAGCAACTACCGGGTGTAGGACTCATTGGGAGGGTTGGAAATGAGTTCATCTCGATGAAAACCCTATTTTACAATTTAATATCAACTTTTCTTGTCGTATTATCGTTTAGTATTTTACAAAAAACGATTATTAGCCCTTTTTTTGGAGAAATCGATACCGTATGCCTCCACGCGGTCGGAGATGCAACTAAGTACTATCGTGGCAGCGAAGCGGGAGATTGGATTAGCCACCACAGGCATAGGGACCCAAAAAAGGGCAGAGGGAGAAGAGCAACAAACTTCATTATCATGACTTTTTAATACGTATTCGCAAGTATTCACGTATTTTTATCAGTCCGAATATGCTTGATACGACACTTTAATGTGACAGTCAAAGTAGAATTATACGGTACGATCCATCCGTTGCCGGTAACTCAGTTACCTGGTCGTATACCAATAGTATTGACTTTCCTTTGTTATTATGGGTTTATTACACACACCTACGCTTA